CTCATTATGATGAAGTTTTATTTTTATTTCAATATAATTCTAATAGTGCTTTGATTAAACCTCATAAAATGATATATAGACCAGTGAGTAAAAATCAGTTTCAAAAAATAGAAATTTATATTTTAGATTTGAAAGGTAATATTGTTAATTTTGATGAAGAATTTATTGGTGTTCTTGATCTAATAAAAAAATAAATATTAAAAACTTTTTTTCAAGATAAAATATCTTGAAAAATTAAAGTAGGGAACGATTTTTTAATTAATTTTAATATATTTAATAGCTTTCATCAACTATTCCTCTTTCAATATCAAACGTATACACTGCACTAGAAATTAAACAAATATAACAAATTGTTTTATCAGGTAAATTTTGACTGAAATCTAAGTTTAAAATTACTGTACAGTTGGAGATTGCAATTTGATTAGGGTGTCTAGTCATGTTAACAACAAAAAATGGTCTCTTTTGTCTAAATTGTAATTTATCTAAATACATTAATGGATTTTCTTCATATGATTTATAATAGGTTTTTTTATAACTCATATGATCTTCATATGATTGACAACATTTTATATCATTAAAATCTTGATTTTGTAATTCATTAGGATATTTTTTTCCATTTACTTCAAAAGAATAATTTACAACATCACAATGATCAAAATAACAAGCATTACTTTCTTGATTGTCTAATCTGTTTTTTTGTAAATAAACAACACCAAACGATGGATGTCTATTATTTCGATAATTATTTGTTACATCAAATCTTATCTTTTTTCCAGTAAGATTTCTTACTTCAATATTTTGCCATTTTTTAAAAGCTAAAATACATGGATTCTTAATTAATGCATCAACTATTTGAATTTTTGTTATTTCATCATATTCTATATTTTGCATTTGAACTTTTAATTCTAAAATATTAATTTTACCACGTTTTGCTTTAATATTTTTTGTATCTGCTGTAGCTTCAGTGTTTGTTTCTAGAATCAACGCATCATCATCAGTGTTTCTCGTAAAAATTATTTCAAATCTAGCATTGTAAAGAGGACTTTTTATATCTTTCATTGATCCTAAACCAAACTGTGATAAAGGAATGATGAGCTCGACACTTCCTCCCCCTTGAGATGTAGATTCAAATCCTGAATTTTGTGTAGGACCATTTCCATCAACAGCATAACTCATATAACCTTTTACTGTACTTAATCTTCCAGTATTATCACTTTCATCTATAATTTTATTATTTAATTTAATTGTAATTTTTTGAAACAAAAATGCTCCACCATTATCAGATATCATAACATTAGATTTTGCTGGATATTTAGAACCATCTTCTTGTACATATTCAAATGATAAATAAAGTTTTGAATTTTTAATGCTCCTGGTGGCAGAATAACCGTGCGACTTATTTGACAGGCCGCTTTATAAACGAGCGGCTATAGGAGTTTGTTCTCCTTATCAGCTCTAATCTTCATGAATACAACTATCGCATTATCAAAACCAAATATTTATAATCAGCGAAAGTATTTCAACGTTGATAAACTATAGATAACCGTAATAGCGTTTTTCCATCTGACTGTACTAGTACACACTACACGTGAACACTGATTCCATAATCACATAATTGACCACACCGTTGAAATTCACGGTATCGGCCAGTGTACAACAGTGTGTACTAGTACAGTCAGATTTTGAGGTTAAGTTATAATAATAATTATCAATAATAAGCATGAACTAAGATAATATATCTTAGTTCGTGATAATATAGAACCCTTAAAACCTCAAAAAAATTTAAACACTTTATCCATGGCTGATAAGCCCGATGTTTTATCTTATCTATGTAAATCTATGATACATTGATACAGCAGTTTTCTATATCGCGGAGTGTGGTCATACAGTCACATAATTATAACGTATTATTTATTTTATTTAAACATAACTTAACAAAAAAGAAAACAGCTTATATGATAGTAACTAAAAGTGAGAGTTGAGAAACCGTCTTAAACCACTACTTTTATTCTAATGGTTTTTATTTTATATAATCTGATCTGATGAAATATCTTTAAGTTTGTAAGCACGGTTTTAGATAGAATTTCTATCTAAAGTCATACCTACATGATATAACGTTCATAGTAATATTATAAAGCTATATTACAACGATACATTGTTATTATTCTATTTTATTTAATTTATTTTTTTTATTTTAAAAAAGAAGTTTAGATGTTAAATTTAATAAATAACAATATAAAAATAGTACTTACATAGCTTGTGGAAATTTAAGTATTTTTCTAAGTATGATGGCTTGTCGAAGAGGTCTGGTAATCTGCTGGCTGATTGTTGGTTGGCGAAGAAGGCTGTTCTGCTGCTGAGTGCTGACTGCTTTTGGAACTGTTGTGGACTGCTGTTGCTTGAACTGATGACGATAAGCTAAGAAATTCTGTGTTTTATACCCGAAAATAGCCCCTCTCTGCTCACATCAGAAACTTTTTTAGAATGGATTTAAACATTTTAATATATAACACATCCTGTTTTCATATTAGAATGACATTGGTATGTATGTAAATTATTTTAAATCCTGTTTGTAATAATTTATATTCATATAGTGTAATTATTATATGAAAGCAATTTATGTTAGCAACAATTTAAATTCATATAATGTAATTTGGTGTTGTACCTCTATGTACATGTTTCGACCGGTTTCTGTAAGGCAAGGTCTGTAAGGTAAGGTTGCTGTGGAAATTTGTATTTTAAATTATTGAAGTAGTGGCAAAATCTGTGTATAAAAGACAGAGGGAATTCACTAATATTCACCAGTCTTCAAGATTTCATCCCAGGACAAGCAGCTCAGTTCAACAGAGATACTACCAAAAAAGATCTCGTACCGTACAATTGCTTCAACTGATTCAGAGGTTAGTAACTACTTAGTAAATATCTTATAACCAAAGCTAATTGGAGGCCAGTCGTAACACTACTCAACGCTATGGTTATAATTCTTAAAATAATATTAAATGCCTGATTATAGCATAGTTTAAAAAACTATATAGTAACTAAAGCATATTGGAGGTCAGTCGTGACATTTACTCAACGCTTTGGTTATAATTCTTGGAACATAGAAAATATAAAATGAAAAAATAGTAAAAATAATATACTATGTTTTATGTTTCATAGAATGAACATTTCAGCGAATCAATTGATATGAGACCGTCTTTTTCAAAAACAAAACCTGGTCTAAAACGTACTGCAGAAAAAACAAGTGTGAAAAAACCTATGAAAAAAAAGCAGAATAAAATGGTAGTATAAATAATATTTATTATAATGATAGCATAAATAATTTAATTTTTTTATAGAATGTATCATACAGAGATAATGTTACCGAACGTTTGAGATCAGAAGAATTTGATGTCGAGTTAATTAATTCGCTAACATTTAGACAAGGGGACGGTGGTGTTGTAACAATCAAGTCACCTTTTGAAGAAAAAGCAAAGGAGCTTTGGGTAATTAGCCACTATAAGGTTGCTAACATTGAGAATGTACCAGTAAAAGACAGGTAAATACATTGGTTTAAATTTAAAAAACCTATTGATGATCTGTTTTTTTTTTCACTGATTTTATTTACTTCTTTTGTTTTTAAATAAAATAATTTTGGTGTTATAGATGGAAGTTCAGTGAAGCTACTGTCAGATTGTATACAAGCGATGAATCAAAAGATCAAACGCTTCATACTGGTCTTAATGAGGCAATGCAAACCATATTTGACAAATTACTAACCGATCCGAAGCGTCAGACTATTCTACTTTTCTACTTTTCTACTTCATTATCTTGTTCAATTGGAAAGTGAATATCGTTTGTACATTGGGGAGGTCAAAATTTAAAATGCCCAGTACTTTCAAAAGCGCCAAGAAAAACAAAAGAAAAATTAAGGAAAAACGGAAATTTTTACGCAAATCCATTTTTCACAAAATTGTATTTGGTTTTTGGTGTAACTTTAAACAAATGACCGTAGATACATGCAATTTTCACTGGTTGTTTATATTTGCATTTTCTATACACGATAACATTTTCAAAATATTTTGATTTATTTTGAACTGTTTAGGGACATTTTCAAAATTTATCGAAATCTCGAAAATTATCAATCATTGTAATTATTAAATTATAAAATGTTCAGTTTTTATAGCTAAAGATTGCAAATTTAAAACAAAGGTTCTCATAAATAGTTCATACTATAACCAAAAAATCTAAAAAATATATGAACACAGTTATATTTTACAGACATTTTAAATTCAAATTTGGACGAAATTACATATTAAAATCAATATTAACGTTCTTTGTTTTTGTTCTAATTTAAAAATATTATTCGGGGATATATGAAACTGAAAAATAAAAATATTATGACCTATCCATACAATCTACCTTAGTATAAAGAATAAGAATTATGCTCAAGATAAGACTGTGCATATTTTAAGGAATTTATTCATAAAGTAAATATAATATGTCTTATACCTAGACTGACCGACCGTCTCCGCTCAGAATCGTTTTTCTTATACAATGATATTATGTCATTGCATTCAAATTTAATACCATCCATTATACAGTGACCCACTTGTAACCTATAGTACAGCAGAGCGACATCCACTTACCCACCTTTTTATTAATAGTATTATACGGATCCGGACATTTCGGCGTGGGTCGATTTCGGCGTAGTCATTTTTCATAAAATCATTTTAATCGCGTTTAGATAATATAATGTTAGTATTGATTATATTGTACCGATATCATTTATCACCTTTTATCTCACTTTCGTCGGTTAGATGCAGGTATGCAGTATGAACTGTATATAATAATAATATTTATATGTATATATTATAGTATGGGATTATACTGTCATACAACATAATCTATATTACGGTCTAAGTTAATAAAGATATAGATTTAGGTATAGTTAACCTATACGCTGTATTGATAGACGATCATTGAGTAAATCATCAAGTAGTCAGTAGTTAGAAATCGCCATGGCAAAAGCAATTGAAACTTTCCGTGGACGTGAAATATATGTACATGATGGGTATATGTATATTTTTGATGCATTTAGTGCAAATAAATTAAAAAAGTTTTGGCGATGTCGTTACAAAGATTCGTGTAAGGCGAGAATTCATACACTAGTTGAAACAAATAAGTTTTTAAAACAAATAAATGAACATTCGACCCATGACTCGGAAGCGGCTAATATTGAAGCTAATTCTGCAGTTACCAAGATGAAAAAACGAGCACGTGAGACAATGGAGCCTACATCAAATACCATCAATGAATGTACGAGTGGATTATCACAAGCAGGAAAGGTAAATATCAACATTTTAATAACTTCAATTGAGAATTAATTTTAAATTAATTAGGGAGCGTTGACGGCTGATGGAGCTTTAAAAAAACAGATAAGACGCACGCGGCGTGAAATTCAAGCTGCACCCGATGCTCCAAAAGATTTGGTTTCATTAATAATACCATTGAATTACCAGTCGTATTCGCCATCTGAAGGTGTAACTGAACAATTTTTACTACACGATAGTGGACCTGGAGTCGATAGAATTTTAATTTTTTGTCGCCCTCAAAATTTAAATATTTTATCAGAGTCTTCCAATTGGTATGTCGATGGCACATTTAAAGTAGCACCTCATTTATTTTCGCAAGTATATGTAATATTAAGTAAATACCTCGATGGCGTTCATCCCCTTATTTATGCTCTTTTACCCGATAAAAAAAACCAAACGTATGAACGGCTATTTAAAATAATAATTGAATTAAAACCAGGGTTAAAACCAAAATCAATTGCTTGCGATTTTGAGCAAGCTGCGATCAAAGCAATTAAAAACAATTTCTCTGAAGTTCAAATTCACGGATGTCTATTTCATTTGACAAAAAATTTTAGACTTAAAATGGGTGACCTAGAATTATTTTCGAAGTATAAAAATGATGCAGAATTTTCAATTTATATTAAAATGATTTTGGCTTTAGCTTTTGTTAAAATTTACGACATTTACAATAGTGTAAACTTATTATATGATGAACTGCCTGAAGAAATATTTCCTCTCTTGGAATGGTTTGAAGAAAACTACATCGGTACAGTTGTAAGAAATCGTCGTCGAAACCCACTTTTCCCCCCTATAATTTGGAACGTTCATGATCGCGTACTTAATAAAGACGATCGAACAAATAATCATGCAGAAGCGTGTCAAATCGTCGTCTTAATCTACAAATGGCAGTTGACCATCCGACACTATGGGCATTTATATCATGTTTAAGGAGAATGACCGAGACACCTTCTTTTGCCAATTAGAAACAGGCAAAAGTCCATCAAAAAAGAAAAAAAAATACATCGACGTCGATAAACGTATTTTAAAATTAGTCTACGATTATGATAATCGTAATACTATGAGCTTTTTAAGAGGGATAGCACATAATTTAAGTATGATGACCTGAATATTTTTATTCATGATTTTAATAGCATTCTCCTTATTTTTATATTTTTAATATTTTAATATTATTATATACAGTTTTTTATACAAAAATTATTTATATATTTAATACAATTTTTATAGCATTCTAATTATTTTAATTAAATTTGTTTTATTATACTTAAATATACCTAATTATTATATACAGTTTTTTATACAAAAATTATTCATATATTTATATTTTATGGTGACCTACCTAATTTCTTGAATGGCTCTACGCCTAAACGGCCTTACGCCGAAACAGCCACGCCGAAATGGCCACGCCGAGATGGCCACGCCGAAATGTCCTAGTCCTAGACGAGTATTATAGTATTCATATTTACAAAACTTAACAAAGATTTCATTATTTAATATTGAGTTTTCTATTTCATTTTGTATTTCGATTTTTTGTAACTTATTACAATTTTTTATAGTTTCCATTCTTTTATTATAAATTTCAATTCCTTTAACTAAGGTATTCAATTTTTTTTTAATATATTTTCTGCATTTCGATTTTTATTTTTAATAGAACAATTCTATTAAAAAATATTTTAATTATTATTGCATTTCGATTTTAATTATTAATAATTAAGTTTTGCGGAAAATGTTTTTATTATTTTTGCATTTCATAAGTTTTGCGAAAAATATTTTTAATTTTTGCACATTGTTTTCTTTGTGATCTTTTACTGATACATTATGAGCTGCACTAACTGCGCCAGGAATGGTATTTATATACTACTAATATACATACAATTATTTGAAAATCTTATATCTTCATTATTTAGACTTTAGAGATTGATACTTAAATAGTTATGAGTTTTAAATGTTATAATGTGTTATATTATGGCTTAGATAGTAAATACAAATTAATTAATCTTTTAAATTATTCTCAATCGTTAATCGTTAAATGTAATAACTTATATTATTATACGATTATTTTAAACTGGTTTTAAAGAAAAAAACCCAAAGTTATTTTATCGACAACCTCGATAGCTTGTTACAATATTTTGTCAATTTTAAGATTGTTTCATAATTTTTACAGTGTCTATGTGTATGACGTGACGTTTCATATTCACTGTTGTATGGAATTTCATTATTTTAGTTTGAAAGATGAGTTATCGGTCAACAAGAGTTGGGTGTGGCAATATGGTAAACGGCAAAGTAATAGGGCTTTTTGTGATTTATGTGATGATAATTCAAATAAAGAGTTTAGTTGTGCTGGTGGGTCAACAGGATCGTTCGGAAGACATTCAAAAGTAATACATTATGTCGGAGGAACTACTCAAAATCAAAGGTATGTATTTGGAACATGAATTATTTTGAATAGAGAGTTGGTAGTTTTAAGTAAATAGTAAATACTAAATACTTATAATAATTATTTATTAAAATAATGATCCTATACCTAATATAAAATACATATTTTGATTCCAATCCCCTCATATTTTGTATATTCAATATTGTATCCCCTACAGAGTACAGACCACTTACCATCAAGTTAGACCTATATATAGATATCATTATTGTTTAGATCACCGATATGGTAATTTTAAATAAATATATGCATTTTTCGATCCATGACTCATAATCCATTTTATAGCTCGTAAGGTTACGCTTTCATTTCATACGTGTCGTTCATATTATATTTCTTAAATATTTTTTTTATTTTTTCTCATACATTTTTGGTAGATATACAACGAATGCTAAAATTGATTAACAAAATTAACTAACACGTTTATTTAATATAATATCCATGTTAAACTTATAATAATTATAAAAATATTATTTAATTTAGTAGGTAATTTAATAATTAAGATAATCGTATTATATACAGAAATAGCTATCACCTATTTTATATAATATATTTTGCATTTTTCCATAAGTATTTACTATTTTTAAGTTATTTGGTGTCTTTTTTATTCGGTTTGCTTTTGGGCGAGGGATCTTAAATCATTGTAATGTGTTTGGCTGAACCTTTTTCTTTAATTCAAAGCTTTTTGATTAATTTTAATTATTATTGTAATTAAATTATATTTCTTAGTAATGATAATGATTTTGAATTAGAGGAGTCTAATACGATTATGACACATGGTTCATCATCATCATCTTCAAATAATTTTAATACCGATTGTTCTTCATCTTCAGAATTTCGTGAACCACCCCTCAGATAACGACTTAGAACTTTTATGAATAAGAAACTTGAGCATAATAACATTTGTAGTTCTGAGAGAACAGAACAAATCCACCAAGCGTTAGCTAAAATGATTGCGATCAACCAAATGCCATTATCATTTTGTTCAAGTTCTGGGTTTCAACAGTTTATGGCTATCGTCGAACCAAATTATTTAATATGTAAAGAAGGAGCTATAAAACGAAGACTCAAAGCATTTAAATCGTCGGTTGAAGAACAAATAAAAAAAGAATTAAGAAATGCCAAGAGTGTAAGTTGTACATCTGACTATTATTATTATTTGTCAGCGCACGGTGCGCGTTTATTATTGTTATTATTATTTATTATACAGTACAGGTAGCGGCTGGCAAATCGTGAGTTTTTGTTATTTATTGTTAATTGTTTATTATTATACAGAATTATTGTTGGGCCAGAAGGGCCACATAAAATTACTTAGTACAATTGTGTTTATATTGTAATACAGCTCTAATAGCTAATTTCTTACATACTATTGAGCCATATATTATTCTTAGCGGCTCTAATAGCTTGTAACATAATTATTATTTTATATATTTTGTTGATTGTGTCGTACGGCCATTTATTATTTATTATTTTTCCCTGTTGGGCCAAAAGGGCCATAAAAAATGGGTTATATTGTGAGTTGTTTAAACATTATTATTGAGCATTTATTATATCTTATTTAATACCGTAAACTCGTGTTTAAGCACATACATACATATATAAACATATTTTACACACCCACCACACACTACCTAGCACTCAGAGTATTTGCTCGGCGATCCCGACCACTATTCTTGAGTTGCCCACACATATTGCACACTATACGTGTCGGTCGGTGCGTGAGTATTCTTGCGTACGAAGTATTCTGGTGACCGGGCGCACAGACTATTTGTGTTCGTACCCGGCCCGTACAAGTTTAGTTCCAAAACAACAACAAAAGAAGTGGGATGCAAAAAGCCGCAAAGGATACTTTGTTGGATATTCAGAAACTTCAAAAGGGTATCGTATTTGGTATAAAGAAAATAACGAGGTGTCACTTAGTAGTGACGTCATTTTCAAGGATGAAAATGTAGTAAATGACCAACTTGTAAAATGTTCTAATAATTTAAATGATAGAAATAACATTGATGTTCTTAGCTTACACAAGAAACGGCCCATTGCAACACAGCAATAAATCAGAAGGAGATGAAGTCATGGAAAATTAATTTGGATCAATAAGTGTAGATGACAATGAAATTCAAGAACATGAAGAAGGAAATGGGTCAAATGTCAATGTGTACAACTTGCGAGAAAGAAGTAATATTAAGAAACCATTACGTTAAGATAATTCAGCCTTTTTCGTAGTCGAATCCGATAAAGTAAATTTCAAGGAAGCTGTGGAGTCACAAAATTCAGAAAAATAGATGGAAGCCATGAACAATGAAATGGAATCTCTTGAACAAAATGGAACATGGTCTCTTGTAAAGTTACCTAAGGACAGAACTATTGTAAATTGTGGTTGGGTGTATAAAACAAAATACAATGTTCATGGACATGTTGATCGATAGAAGGCTAGGCTAGTAGCAAAATGGTATAGTCAAATATTCGGTATTGATTTTAATGAAACTTTTAGCCCTGAAGTAAAGTTCGATTCAATTCGATCTTTATTAGCTATATCAGCAGCAGAACAATTACAACTTCGACAATTTGACGTTCAAACAGCGTTTTTATATGGAGATTTGGACGAAAAAATTTACATGAGACAACCAGAAGGGTTCAACGATGGTACTGAAATTGTGTGCAGACTTCAACGCAGTTTATGTGGTCTACAGCAGTCACCATTATGTTGGAACATAAATTTCAAAACCTTTTTCCTTAACTTTAATCTATTAGAAACAAAAGCAGATCCCTGTGTTTTTGTTAATAGAGAAAATAACAAAGTATTAATTATCGCTATATTTGTTGATGATGGTCTAGTTGCAGCTACATCGAGTCAGGATGTAAACGCATTAATTGAATATTTGAGACAACATTTCAATATTACCGAAGGAGAATTGAATGAATTTTTAGATACAGAAATTAAGCAAAAATCTGATGGATCAATTGTAATGCACCAAGGGTTGTATTGTAAAAGGATATTGGAGAAGTTCAATATGACTGAAGCAAATCCAGTTCAAATACCAGCAGACCCTCAACATTCATTAGATGACAAGCAACAAAATACTAATCTAACTAGTGAAGTCCCATATAGTGAAGCAGTCGGAAGCTTATTATATCTCAGTCAGATTACAAGACCAGACATAACTTTTTCAGTAAATCTAGTTAGTAGATACATCGAGGATCCAAAGGAACAACACTGGACAGCAGTGAAACGAATTTAAAAAATATTTAAAGGGAACTATTAATTTTGGATTGATATTTAGTTCTAGACAAAAACTCATGTTAAAGGGATACAGTGATGCTGACTATGCAGGTTACTTGGATACAAGAAGGTCAACATCAGAGTCAGTATTTACATTAGGATCTGGCAGTATAGCATGGAGTTCAAGTCGTCAACAGTGTGTTAGCCTTAGCACAACTGAATCAGAGTCAAGCCTTACAAGAATTAACTTGGTTAAAATTGTTTTTAGGTGAATTGCTG